ATAGCTAAACTTCTTCAAATTTACAAATGTGGAAGCCAGAGGTAGCTTACTTGGCTTTGTTTCAGAACAACCACTCACAAGACTCGGAATCTAATCAAACATTGCTCGAAAATGGACTGAGTACAAAGAGAAAGGGTTAGAGGCATATTGCAAATTCATAGTATTTGCTACTTTGCTTGTTAGACACAAAAGTATTTGCAATCGAAGTCTGATCTGATTTGCTACCATTTTGAGCAGAATTTCAGAACGGAAAGAAGCTCTACCTCACAAAGCGTTTTCTTTCTGTATCTTCTTCCTAGCGGTATTAATTCCATTTATCTGGATACCCTTTCCTTCACGTCTACTGCGTGTTGAGACAACTATTGCAACTGCAGTTCTTATTTTTGTGGGGAAACAGTTTCAGGTGTGTGCAAACTAAGAGATCGCTTTGTTGTGAAAACTTCTAAATTCAGATGCATCTTCTCACCAATCATGTTATAGTTTTTATTGGGGACATTTCTTATTCTTTCTATCTTCTTCATTGGCCGGTACATGTGGTGGTCCGTTATTGCTATCCCGAAAATCCGCTAGGTAAACGAATGCAAAATTTTGTAAAAACCAAGGACAATCGGGCTGTAATTTCGAAACATTCAAAAATATGTTATAACATGCATATGCTTTTTTATATTGCAGCTCCCTTCTTTGGATTAGCTGTTTCTGCTTTCCTGGCCACTATGACCTATTATCTTTACGAAACCCAATATTTACGATGGTCACCACCAACAATATTTATCCTGATAGCCTTCCTAATGGGTGGCAGCTTCGTCCTTTCCTCACAGCCTATAAATGTGGATGATGCTGATGGAGTAGATTCAAAAGCTGTCGATTACTCTAAGATTAATGTAGAAGATGCTGCATGGAACATGAGTAAGTGCACAAATCATCTAGTGCTTGGAAATTGTGTATGTAAACTTTGTTTTAGCTTTAATGAGATACCTGATAGCTAAAGAAAGGAGAAGTACTCAACATATGTGGCATAAGGACTGCACGTACAGCAGAAGATTTGTTGAAAATAGGAATCTCAAGCCTTTCGGGCTCTGCATGATGAAGGTGAGGATTTAAGCAATAAGTAAATAAACTCGAAGGGAATCTATCCATAATAAGATGCGCTTGAGCTGTCAAACGACCAAAACCTTTTTTAGGACTAGTTAGTTTCCTTATTGCTTAGGCTTATATTCCTCAATCAATAATTTCCACAAGGCATAAGTTAAAACAAAGAGGGGAATGAAGGACGCCTTTTAGCAAAGCTCGTGCTATAGTACTGAGAGCATATTAGCTTCTCTTCTGAAAGTTTACTACTCCCGCCTTGTATTCGAAGGATCTTCTAATTCTCATTTAATAATCTTCGACGTTTGAGGATTTAAGCAATACCTAAATAAACTCGAAGGGAATTTATCCGTAATAAGATGCGCTTGAGCTGTGAACGGTTTAAATTCTTTTTAGGACCAGTGTTGCAGTTTCCTAAGTTCTTGGGCTTATATCCATTCCATCGATAATTTCCACCGTTAAAACAAAGAGAGGAAGGCATGAAGGAAGCCTTCTAGCAAAGCTCGTGCTAAAGTCCTAAAACCGTACTAGCTTCCCTTATGTAACTAGTCCTTGTATTCAAAGTATTTTTAATTTTCATTCAGATCTTCAACGTTTAGCCAGCCAAATAGCATGCAAATCATGCTCTACACAATACGTTGTCGTGCAGCAGATTAGTATCAGTGTGCATAAACGGTCTCCGTGAAACATATGTAAATATGAAACTATTGCAATCTCACCCGTGATGGTCTACGCCTCATCGTGGTGCGGGGGTGACTCTCGGTGTCTAAATGCGAAGTACAGCGGAGGTTTATCCTCCAACAGGGTCTCTCAAGCTGAAGAGGAGTTCAACGTTTCCAGCTCCGCGGATGCCCGGCTGATAGTATACCATGCCAAAAGCCCCGTCTTGCTGATTTAGTTGCTAGGCGGTTCGCTGATCCACATAGATCAGCGTTTGCCTACGATGAAAACTTGGCAGGCTCTTGCAAGGCTTTTAGGTTGGGAATTTATTCTGTTGCCTCTACAGCATGTAATAGGAAAAGAAGCCCTACACGCTGGATCACTCCATACTCGGATGTCATCAAGGCCAGCTTCAGATTGCACAGAACGCCATGAATTTTGGACCAAAAGGACACGTCAACGACTGCCATGGAGATTGTCTCATGCTCTGCCCCTACAACGCCGGGACAGTCTCCATCAATGCCGATCTTCACGCCCTTCTTAAAGCTGCTGGGCGCATTAACTACCAAGTAATCGTCTTGCAGGAAACAAATTCCAAGAAGACGGACGTGAGGCGGCTCATTGATGCACACTCACGCGGCGAGAAATTTTCATCAAACGTCGGAGGTTGGCTTTGTCTTACCCAGCTGTTGTCCGTCAATTCGCATGAGATCCTATCGCCTCGTTTAGCTATCCTTCGACGCCGTCCTCTGTATCAGAAAACCATTATTGTCATCAATCGCTGTTCTTCAGCAAGCGAATCGAAAAATGAAATTCAAAAGAGGGGGAACATAGGATCGAGAAATTTTCATCAGCATTCCGGAATGAGAATGGTAACCGTCTCGTTGGACTTATGCGCTGCACGACTTTTTCATTTCAACTCCATCCCCATGAAGAAAGATTCCGACGGCGGGTATGGGAGTCGCCCAATGGTACGATTCATGCAGAGATCGATCACATCCAACTAATTACACACTTTTAACTATTGTTTTAATTGCTTTCAATTACACAATATCATACAATTGATTACATGTGAGCTAATGTAATCTGCACGTGAAGCATCTGAGTAAGCTGTTGAATTATGTGAATGCCACAAAGGTATCAGGATCTGGGTTCTGACAGTAATCCATTGAACTTTTCGCACATAAGCATATAAGTAATTTATTGTTAGTGCTTGAGTTCTGGGGTAGATGTACCAAATTGTACACAAGCAAGTGAGTTGACCTAATTTTAAATGTGGCATGTTGGCAAGTGAGAATGGCAAATCTCCTTATTTATTCCGAAATATAATAAAGTTTCGCAGAACCTAGACTGACCTAAACTATTCTCTAGATCTTAGAAGGGTCATAAAATTTATTACAATTATTAGTAATAGTTGATAGAGGTGTATGCATTTTCTTAACTAAATGAAAATGCCAGGGGTTGGACAAATACCCATTAATTTTTTCCTTTCAAAATATTTATCGAGGAAAACAGGAAATTATACTTTCTGAGAAATTGCTGCAGCTGCTTGATCAAGCAATGAAGCATGTTTCTCAAGTTATTACAGTATATGTTTAGCAAGGCAAAGGAAACCTTAC